ATTGTAATTTGTATATATATTATATTGTAATTTGTATATATATTATATTGTCACTAATATACTTGTAATTATCAAGGTATGATATCGTAAACAGTAGTATATCATGAGAAGTAACTTGAGGTTTTACTTCATCACTAATATATTGTCACGAAATTAATTGTATATTATATTGTATATATATATTATATTACAGTTATTATATTGTCACAAATATACTTGTAATTATCAAGGTATGATAATGTAAACAGTAGCATATCCTGAGAAATAGCTGGAGGTTTTTCTTTGTTACCGCAGAGAGACCGAGAAAAAGCTGACCTCGGTAAAAGTTAGCGTAGCACGTGATTTTACAAGCATGAAAACTAGGAAAACTAATTTCAAGGTAAAAGTTTTTACTATTCTAAATCCTAAATTATATATGCATGTACACTCTGGTGTAACAAACCATGCATATGTCAATATAATATGTCATCGACTATGTATATTATTATTATATCTATTATTTCTATTATATTACTCTCTGCCAGAGGAGGCGTTAACGTGCAATTATTAGTGATCGTAGCAGAAGGAAGGTATGATGATGTAAGAGGAAGCATACCTTTATGCCAGGGAAGCAAGCTTCTTCTTCTATCGTCTTCTTCCTTGTTTTTCTTCTACAAACAAAAATTAAATGCTAGAATCAAAGCCAATGCACCGTCGAGGGAGGCAATCTTCTTTGTTAGATTTCACAAAACAATTAATGTGCAAACTAGGTGTAATTATAAATTATTTCATGTCAACTCTTCATGTACGATCTTTTCACAACACAGTAGCCGTGGCAATAGCATTCCTACGACGCTACCGACACACACTAACAAGAATGATGCAATAAGAACTTTCCACTCATCGCACCAAGTTCCATCTTCGTTATGTACCTAACTCCATCACATCTATCTCTTCTCATTCATTCATCTGCTGATTACTGTCGATTGCTGTTTTAATTTGGCTTCCTGTTACAGAAGCTCGAATCTCTACCTACGGCACAGACTATTAATGCCGTGATTGCCATCCTTATTTGCCATGGTGCCCCTGACGATATATAGTATATATATCAAGAATACACAATAGAGAACAGTATGACACTGTTTTAACAGCGTTTTGCATAGTTTTTAACTTGAATTTATTCTATCAATATGTGAATAAATATATTCAAACTTTACCTTGTTTTGTTCTCTGATTCTCCCTTAATCGTATGACACCACATTCAAGTTGAAAACTACGCAAAACGCTGTTAAAACAGTGTCACACTCTTCTCTATTATGTACTCTTGATATAATTATTTATATATACACATGAGGATATCTATGTCACAATAAACTACTGGAGATACCATGTAATTGTTATTCCACCATGCCCTTCCAACGACCAATAAATATAGCGTAACCACCTACCCTAACCCTAACACGTAACATCATATGTATCCCTTTTCTCCCAGAAAAAAAACATCATTTAAGAGTAAGTGGCTGCAAGTATTTGCCTTTCCTTGGTGGGGATGTTTGCTATGGTGTCCCTCAAACTTACTGTGGTGTCTTCAAATCTCTAAAGGAACTGAAAACAACTCTTACCTTCCCTCTAATGTATTTAGAATTCAGCACCACTATTACATATTTCCCCTTAGTTGCTAGGGAATGTTTGCCATGGTGTCTGTCAAACTTACTGTGGTATCTTCAAAAACAACTCGAGAGAGAGAGAGAGAGAGAGAGAGAGAGAGAGAGAGAGAGAGAGAGAGAGAGAAGAGAGAGAGAGAGAGAGAGAAGAAGAGAGAGAGAGAGAGAGAGAGAGAGAGAGAGAGAGAGAGAGAGAGAGAGAGAGAGA